TCCAACTGTCCAAATTTACGGATAGTTATCGAGCTATAAAAACGTGTGGGATTAACGAAATTTGTCAAGTTAACGAAATGTATGAAGTTATCGATATTTATTGAATTATCATTATTTATAGACTTAACTAAATATATCGAGGTGTCGTAATGCATGGACTTCTTTCAACTTCAGATTTATCGATAATTATTGATCTACTGAAATTGGTTGGTTCAACAAAGCAAAGTTTATGGAATTTTCAAAATATATCCATTTATCGAAAGTTTTTACATTTTTGAGTTATCGAAATATATCGAGCCATCGAATTTCACAGTTATCGAAATTGGTCGAGTTAACGAATTTTGTTGAGTTATCGAATTTTAGTGTTCTTGAAATTCATCGAACTATCGATATGTATCAAATCATCGAAATTTATCGATAAACTTGAATGTATCGGGTCAATGCCAAGTCCTGCCGAAGTCCTCCAAAGACCTTCTCAGATAAAGAAATTAAATTGTTACGTTTTAGCAGAAGATTTTCCGGTTAGTTAATTTGTACCGTATAAGTATGGCTACGTGTTAAGTTAGAAAACCTCTCCAAGGCTTCTAAAACTAGAAAAACTGTCGAATTTCGACAGTAACTGGCACTCTAGTATTTATTTATTTTTCTTGCTTATTATGGCTTTCGTATAATTTTATTTTAACTAGAAGTACCATTTTCCAGCAGAGATGCATTAATAACCTATTATAAAATTTAGAAATGTACAAATATACCGTTTTTCTACAGATGAACTATCAGTGATAAGCAAAATTTAAAAACTGCTGGTAATATTGGGCACATTTTAGCATTAAACGCAAAGATAAATAAACAAAGGGATTGTAATCTAAAAATAAAAGAGGCTCGTCTGCCATGGATGCCACCTTTCTCGCTTAATTACCCGTAGTTCTGTTCGCTATGCAAAAAACAAGTTAGTACCAATTGTCACCAAATCGCGTTCGTTTGGACAAAAAACCTGCAAAACTGTCAAGGAGAGAGCACACTTTTGACATTTCATTTGGAGGGGAAGTATGCAAATTCATGCTGGGAAAATTTTCGCCAGCAAGAATTTGCAAGCAAGATTGTGGCACACGGTTGCATTTTTGTCAACAATAATTTGAATCAACAAGTTTGTTACATTTGAAAATGTGCAATCTTGTTGTGATTTACTAATTAAAGAAATATGTAAATATTGGTTTATTTAACTAATTTAATTAAGTCCAATGATTTGAAAGGTTGTCGGCTGAAAATGTTGCTTTCGTAATCGGAACGAATCGACACAACTACTGTCGATATAGGAAATCCGACAGTGACTACCACAAAGAAATTGTAACGTATGTTGAAGAAAGCCAGAATAAGAAGAACTACACCATTTCCAGTTGTAAATGAGAAACCGTCAAATGAAATTGCGAAAGCGTCATTTGGAAATGAGAATAGTCAATTGTAAATGCGATATCGTCATTTGAAATTGAGAATAGTCAATTGTAAATGAGAAAAGGTCAATAGTAAATGAGAAAGCGTCATTTGTAATTGAGAGTAGTCAATTATAAATGAGAAAGCGTCAAATGAAAATGCGAAATCGTCGTTTGGAATTGAGAATAGTCAATTGTAAATGAGAAAGCGTCAATTGAAAATGAGAATAGTAAATTGTAAATGAGAAAGCGTCAAATGAAAATTCGAAAGCGTCATTTGGAAATGAGAAACTCGTTTTTATTCAGAAATTATTTAGATGTTATTAAAAATGCAAGTTTATTATGTCCCAACTTGCATATCTTGTAAAGATAAAGCATTTCCATGGAAAGATGTTGCGTGCTGAAATACTCTCGCGCAGTCTCCTCCGGTGATTATAGTTTTCGCGTCATCCACCAAATTCTCCAAATATTGCAGCCGTTGTTCAACAAGGTTTGGCCCATTTATGACTGGGTTTGAGATATGCCCCATGGGGGAATATGGCGCTAAACGCAGCACTTTATTAATGAAATGTCCAAGTAATTTATATATATGCATATTTTTAACATACTTGATTTATATACTTTTTAATCGTAAAGTAGTTCTTCCGCCAGTGTAAAACAACTGAGACTTCCCGGCGAAAATAAAACCGAAGAGTGTTCTCTATCGAGCTACATACATTGATCCGAGACATACCGTAATGGTTTAAACAGATTCAAGAAGGTCATGATGAACTACATACATACATTTATATGTATATAAGTAATTCGTGAAGGTTTTTCGGAATTCGACCGGTATCGTTTTCATCCGAATATTGGCCAGCTTTATTTTCCTGTCTTCTTACCTATGTACATACTCTAATATGACGTAGCTTACAAACAGCAAAGATGAAGATCATAACCTTCTGAAAACTTAAAAATTCCGTTTTCAAACGCGTTTTATAGCGACATAATTGATTAAGTATTATCAGTGATAAGCGAATTTAAATCATCTATTATATATGCAGTACGCAATTCATTTACTTTTATTTCTCATTTCCAAATGACGCTTTCGCATTTTCATTTGATGCTTTCTCATTTACAATTGACTATTCTCAATTACAACTGACGCGTTCGCATTTTCATTTGACGCTTTCTCATTTACAATTGACTAATCTCATTTACAATTGACGCTTTCTCATCTACAATTGACTATTCTCATTTCCAAATGACGCTTTCGCATTTTCATTTGACGCTTTCTCATTTACAATTGACTATTCTCATTTTCAATTGACGCTTTCTCATTTAAAAATGACTATTCTCATTTACAATTGACGCTTTCGCATTTACAACTGGAAATGGTGTAGAAATAATTAAAAAAAAGAAAAAAATTATTATGTTCGAAATGCAACCGTGGACGCCAGCTGGCAGTAAAGCGTGCAAGTTTCTGCAAATTCCTGTTCGCGCTAAACTTTGTAAAGTTCTCTCTTTGGGAGATAATCTTACTGGCTTTTCCAATCGAACACAATATTTTCTGTACATTCAGCTACTATCTTATTGAAATTTTTAGAAGGCAAATTTTCGAATAAGATAGTTTCAAATCTTTTTTCTCGGTCTTATTACTTCACCTAGGATAATTTCACAATACTCGTCTGCCTGTCTCTACTGCAGCTAAATGTCGACAAATATAGTTAACGTAGTTTAAAGTTTAGTTTTGGTTGTTGTACGCGTTAGGTTAGACGGGCAGCTCAAGTTAAATAGCTCCCTCGGAGGCCGCAGGTGTCCATTGTGATGCCAAGGAGAGAATTTCCCTAGACTGTCCCTCCTTGTTTTAAACTATACAAATTTAATGGCAAATCCTAGCAGGCCACATGTGCTTTTTCCCCAAACTGTATAAACTTCCCTTAGCATCTTAACTCAGATCCCTTTCTCGCGGTTTGAAATCCCTGAGGATCGGGACCTCACTATTGCCTAGAACGATATTAAGTTCCCAGTCTCTTTTGTCGGGAAAGCATGGTTCCTGCCAGTTGTTTGCAGCTTCTCAGACACCTTAAGTTTCAGCGCGTTTTTAGTTGCAGCGCTTTTAACGTAGATGTCTATATGTAGGTGGTATGGAAGTGTTTTTTACCACAAAAAATTCGTTCAGCACAATGTTGCCTAACAGAGGAGTACATAGCTTGTATGTGCACATATCTTAGTTTCTTCCAAAAACTCAACTCGTTTCGCTTTTTAATTGTTTATGTGCACTAACTAAATCTATTTTCTTTTCTCCTTTCTAGGTTTATAATCTCAGTCCCTTCTCTTTCATGCATCAGGATGATGTACGTTGGGTTATTGTGGCGCTACGACAGATGTACGATAATAACGAGGATAAAGGCGAAAGCTATTATCGACTACTCACACGCAACGGCCACTTTATTTACTTGCACTCGAGGGGCTACATCGATGTTGCGGATAAATCTCGCAATGTTACCTCTTTCGTTTGCGTCAACACGCTTCTGGACGAGGAGGAGGGCCGTCGCCGCCTGCAGGAGATGAAAAATAAATTCTCAACAATAATTAAAACAAAGATACCAAGCAATTCACTGCTGGATGCACCCGCTGCCGAGAATCCCCAACAACTGGAGCGCATCGTACTTTATTTAATCGATAATTTACAGCCGCGACACGACAACGGCAATGGAACGGGATGTGGCGAAGACACCAACACGCAGGCTGACAATGTGCGGTATGCTCGAACGCCACCGATGTCTCTCGTGCCGCCCGAACCCGCCTCGGTTAAGAACTCAATTTCACAGTCAGTGTCGGTTGTGAATGTGACAGCGGCTAGAAATTTGCAACACAATCTCAGTCACATGAAAAGTCCGCGTAGCGTCACCAGCAGCGATTTGTCGCTATCACCGGCCAGTAGCATTGACTTAGGCGACGACTTTGGCGACAGCATGGGCGCCGTGCCTCCCAATTCCATCCACTCCAATACGGCGACCACGGCGGCGAACAGCACGCAACGGCCGAGTGTGCTGCAGCTAAATACACAAGCAAGTACGAGTGCCCCTCTTTCGTCGCCACAATCGGCGGTTAGTGTGCTCGAGCAGCGTCTGACTGTGGCGTCGCAAGCAAAAACGTCGAGTGAGCATACGGCATCGGCTGACTCTAATTTCAACGGTGGTAAGGTTGTGCCACAACAGCAATCACACACATCTGTTTTGAAGCGTTTGCGTCCAGCGGCATCTATCGCCGCAGCCGCTGGTGCTGCCTCGACTAGCACAACCATTAACAGCAGCGTCGTTTTCGAAGATAGTGTCAGCCCAGCAAAGCGTTGTCCAAGCGTCATGGCAGCAAACTCACCCGAAATGTTGCCAACCACAGTCATTGCGAAGCCCGGAGAAATACACGCGGTCATCAGCAACTCGCTGGAGAATATCGATCAGTCGCTGCAGAGCATACAGAAGAATGCGCGTACTTTGTGCCAACAGCATGCACGCCTGCTGCCAAAACCGGTGCCACAAGCCTTCAATCACAAACTAGATGCCATCTTTGTGGAGCACCAGCGACAGGCTGAGCAGCTAATCAACATCAGAAACGAATACGATGTGCATTTGCAGCATAAGCAGCAGCACCAATATGCATTGACTAGCGTCGAAACGACAACACGAGCACCACAATATCAACAGCTGCCGCTGCAGCAACTACAACTGCCGCCGCAGCAACACCAGCAGCAACTACAACTACAGCAGGCTGACACAGCACAGCTGCAATTGACGGCCAACTACAAGGAGCCGACAGCAATGTTGAATCAGCTGGAAAAAAGGCTGTAGTTTCTTGTAGCCTGCCTGTAGTAGCAGGTGGCTTGGGCAATAGCTTTGAAGTTGCAGAGGTTTATTGGTGCGAATAGCTAAATTCAGCAGCGCCGGCTGAGATGGGAGCGACGAAACGGAGTGTGCCAGCGAACAGTGATGGCCTGCTGGGCAAGTGGCTAGCGAATATTTCGAGTAAGTGTGAGGGCAAAGGCTGGTGGGCGTGCAGCTATTGCCTGCATTCTGATGTGTTACCCAATAACAAAACATTAACAAAAAAAGTTCAAATTCTCTACCTAACCAACAAATTATTTCCATTTAATATTGCTATGATGTTGTTCGCTGACCACGACAAACGTATGTACATACTTCCATATGTGCTTTGGTGAAAGGAAACGTATGTAGTATGCACATATGTATGTATGTCTGCACACCAGTGTTATAAGCATTGTGGCTCCTGAGTACCATACTTGGGTTTGTTTTTGTATTTAAGAAACTTGCGTTGAGAATTGTTGGTGTTTAAAATACAGCTAATAAGACTAGAAGCAAGAGGGATGAATATTGCAGCAATAAATGGCAATGGAAGTGAAAACGGCGTTAAAAAGTGCTTAAAAATTTGGAAAAACAACAGTTATTCAGCTATTATTGTAAATAGTGCATATTTAAAACTTAATCGTCCAACGATTTTGAGTTGTGAACAAAAAAATGGTTTTGGGCGAACAAGTGCCAGGCAACAAGAGCTGTGCGAATCAGAAACTGATTTTCGATGTAGATTTCCGGGAAATCAATCAATTTTATTACAACATTTGGTACTAACGAAACAAAAATTTTTTTGAAGATAAGAGAGCTGTCAAAATTGAGGGTGCAAATAAATTAAAAAACAAAAAAAAACAGAAAAAATAAAAATAAATTATAAATAAATAAAGTGGCGTAGATAGTCGTTTTTTTATAATAACGGAATGAAAAAAAAAAATTAAAAGTTATCGGTTTAAATTTAATTGCCTTACTTACATTTTCGGCTGCTAAAATATTTTTGTTGTATAATTTTTATGTTTTACGCTTTTTACAAGCCTATTGACTAAAGTGTTAAAGTCGAAATTTAGTCGGGGATAAATTATGCGATGACATAAAAAGGCATAAATAATAATTTAACATCAAGTAAAATAAGTTAAAATAAATTAAATTAAAATAAGGATATAAATAATAAAACAAAAATACTTACATATGTAACTGTTAAAAAAATAAAAAAAATTTAAACAATATAACTAGTGAAAAATGAATTACAAGCTTGTAAATGCATTAAAAACTACACCAAATAGTTAATAAAAAAAACTTACTTTTAAGTTAATATACTAAACAAGTAGTTTTTCAACAAAAAAAAAACCGACTTCAATGCTCGTATGCAAATTTAGAAGTACCGTTAGTTTCTTCATGAACCAGTGATCGTAACCAAACCAAATTAGTATGGGACCAACCAAATTATTCCGATGACCTCCTCTTTTGATGTCGGTCAATAATAAAAATATATAAAAAAGTAAAAAAATTAATAATGAAATAAAAAACTAATGAATACATACATATGTATGCAAAGTATGCTAAAAATATTTAAAATTTATTTACCAAATTACCGCAAAAGTTTGTTAGTGCACCGTAAACAATATTAATAAAAAAAATCTAAAAAACGCAAGCCACAAAAAATGGCTCTGCTTGACAACAACTTTTTTTCTATATTTAAACGCATTTTTTAAACTATAAGAATACTAATTAACAAATTTGATATTGTAAATTAAAAAAATCTAAATTAAAATCAGTTCCATGTTTACAAAAGCGCTTAAGTGATACGGCACAGCTTGAATGAAAGATGTTTGCTTTCAATTTAAAAGCGAATTTCTTTCATTAAAAATAAATTGAGTTCTAAATTTTGTTAAAATTAAAAAAAATTATGAGTTTCAATATTTGTTCGAAACTAAACAAGAAAAAAAGTAGATTCAATGTGCAATGATCGTCTCCTCTCATCTCGTCGTCTTTTGCCATATTTTATTGTTAAAGCATTGTCACCCCACTGCCTTAATTTCCGCAATTCTCAACTGATTCTTAATTTTTTTATAAGGTATATACATATATATGTATATACATACATAAATTTTAATATATGTAATTATTTTTACACAAAAATATTTCTTTATATATTTTTTACCTATAAAACTAAATTCTATTTAAAAGTTTTTTTTAATAAAGTTGTTTAAGTTTTAAAGCAATTAGGTGAATCTATGTAGCGTCAGTCTTTTTACAAAAAATGTTTGATATCTATATACAGATGCGATCACCTAATTATCACCGAAATTCAAAATACATACATTGTTTACAATTTATGCTTATTTATTTATTTTTAATAATTTTCATTTGAAATATAATTCTATCTATAACAGAAACCACATTAATAAAAGTTTCAAAGCTTACATAAATTTCAAAAAAATTAATACTTCAAAACATTTTTCTCAAAATTTTATCATTTTTAATTAGAATACTTAGAAAATTTTCAGTTATGCAGTTTTTTAGCCCATTCAATTTTAGTCCAATAAAATGCGAATTTGAAGTAGCTAGGTCCTGGAGTTGAATTTTAAAATTTTTGTAGGTGTTGCAGAAGATTTTTTCTTATAAAAATAGATATTGATCATGCGTTATATGGAAGAAGATGCGCAACACCCTCCCCAAATAAACTTCTAAAAAATCAACGGTAATGTTTAACGACTTTAAACTTGCACTTTATTAAACTAAAATTGAAGGGACTACAAAACTGCATACCCGAAAATTTTCGAACTATTTTAATTAAAAATTTTGATGACACTTTCTTGAAGTTTGATCAATTTTTTTTTGAAATTTGTGCAAGCTTTGAAACTTTTATTAATGTGGTTCCTGTTATAGATTGAATTATAGTTTAAATGAAAATTATTAAAAGTAAATAAATAAGCATAAGTTGCAAGCAATATCTTTTGAAATTCGGTGCTAATTATGTAGTTGATCGCATCTGTATGTATGTATGTGTTTGATAAAATTGTTTTGCACTTTGTTTTTGTTTTTGTTATTTTTATTACTTTTATTAACATATGCTAAAAGCAAGCATACAAAATTATTACAAAAAAAAAATTTATTAACGCAACAGTGTATATGTAAAAACCAATGTTTTAATAGTAACGCTGTTCTTTCTTATACAACTAATTCATACATGCGTACGTATGTATGTAGATATGTATCTATTTGTAACAGTTAAGTATAAACAATTATCGCAGGAATTTGGCTTCTTATATACATATGTACATAGTATGTGCGCACACATTTATACATATGTGGTATATCTACGTACAGCATATATGTAAACATGCATACTGGCGACAGAAATAATAGACTCGCCTTACTTTGAAGAGCTTTGGCTATATTCCCATGGTTTATTTTATGTTTAATATTTTTTTATAAAAGCCTAGGTAGTTATACAACAAAAATCATATAAATCCCGTTTTCAAGCTCTATACAAAAATTATAAAAATTCGAGGGGATTTTATAAAAAAAATTAAAGAAATATAGCCAAAACTCTTAAAAGTACGACGAGTCTACTATTTCTGCCGCCAGTGTATTTGCGTCGCAGGCCATATGTAGTTCTTTTGTAAATAAGTTGAAAAAATATTTGTGAGCAAATTTAAAAAAGCAAAATATCTAAGTAAAACGTCATATATGTATGTATATTTCAGCTGAGTTCGTTCAGCTCGTACTATTTTTTAATGTATTGTATTAGTTTAAGAAATAAATCAATATCACAGAGAAATAAAGGAACGTGTAATTCGAAATATCCGCTCTACTTTTTAATGGTATAACAAAAAACCATAAGGGTTTATGTCGCAATGATTACAGTAATTTTTCTTGTTGGTAGCTGCAAATTTATTCGATTTATGGCTGCTAAAAGTGCTGGATGGCCAAGTTTCCTTTATAAAAGGTCAAAAAAATCGAAGTTTCTCTGAGAAATGAGCAGTAAAAATGCTACTATTCAATAGCCAAAACCATTCTCTTTAATATGTTGAAAATTTCATCAAAATATCTTCAAAAACAAAGAAGATATGGGCAAAAAAATAATGAACGCACAACAAGTATACGCACCCAACACCCACCCACCCACCCACGCAACATGTTGCATTTAGCGTTGAGCAACATGTTGCGCGCGCCACCTACTTGCGCGTCCTGCGCGCCTGGTGCATTTGGTGGTTGTGAAAATTGCGATCGAGTGAGTTGTGTTCGGGGTTTTCGTTTTAGTAGCAATTTCTTGCGTATTTTTAGGAATTTAATAAGTATATATCGTGAAACTATGATAATATATGTATGTATGTGCATATATATTTTCCGACGGATTAAAATAAAAGTGCTGTAATATAGTTATTCAAATAATCTGTTTATTTAATAATCGTTTTTAGAAGGGTTGCCACATAATTTTAAACATAAAATTCTTTTTAAAACTTTAGAAATTAAAAAAAAAACTATCATAGACACTATTTTGCTTAAGCTTTTTTTAAAAATTTATATATAGGGTTGCCAAGTGTCAAATTACAAAATAGTATTCCAATTAACATAAATCTTATCAAATTCATCATAAATCTTATTTTTTAATATATGTAACTTTTTAAATGCGTTTATTCAAAAATAATTTTTCCTATGGTTTTGTTTATAAAATTTAGAATTTATAGAAAAAAAGCAATTGAATTTTTTTAAAGATTTACAAAAATTTACACATGTATGTCCAGGGTTCCATTTGCATTAAATTCAGCATACGTTTTCATTTCAAAATATGTTGTACATTTACATTAAAAAATAAATAAAAAAAAACCGTACAAAAACATGTACTTGTTTGAAACTTTTGTGCAGGATTGCCATGTGTATTGAATTTAACAAACATTTTCTTTTGGAAACACTTTTCTTTTTAAAAACTTAAAAACAAACTACATATACCTACAATTTAGCTTGAAGATGTTAAAAGTACTGTACAGGGTTGCCATTTATGCTTAATTAAAACAAAAATTGCCACTAAAGATATGTCAAACATTTTGAATGCAATTCACCAGATTATCGCAGCACAGATTAAAATTTTTCTGTGCAGGTTGCTGAATTTTATTTTATTTAAGTCAAAATTTTCAACTATTTTTCCTATTATTTTCCTTCTATGCCACTTGATAAATTTTTCGGAACCTTATAGCTTTTCAACAGAGTTGACATATACTATTTTTTAATAGAAATATAATAGTTTCTAAATACAATTTAAGTTTTGTTAATTAAACGTATATACATATTTTCAGTAGATGTTTTAAATTAATTTTTAAATGCAATACCTTTTCTTTATGAAATGCAATACCTTTTCTTTATACGTCTGTAGGGTTGCTACGTAATTTTAATTACATACAATTTAAAAGTTGTATTTATGGGAAAATATATATTTTCTTTTCCAAATCTCAAAAATGGGGAAAACATAATAGAGTTGACATTAAGTTGCAAAAAGCAATTAAAACTTCCAGTTGTAAGGAGGATGAGAAAAGTTTTCAAAATAAATGCTTAAAGTAAAAATTAAAAGCCTATCCTTTCTGGTACTAATACTTATTTTATCAGGTTTGCAACCCCAATAATAGTTTCATAAATTCTTAATTTTCTACAATTTTGAAAAAAAACGGAAAACTTTCCGACAGAGTATACAAAGTTTTTTTAGCAAAACATTTACATACGAAGTGTTGTCCTGTGTTTGGAATAAAAATAAAAAATTTATTTATATTTATTTTTATTTATTTTTGTTAAATATATTTTTGTTCGGCTGTGATTATATGAA